AAGCTTGTAGCATTGCCTGGGGTTGTTGTGACCGAAGTGCAGGACTTTGCACTTTGCCTTATTGAATCTTATACTGTTGTTCTCAGCCCATTAATCCAGCCTCTCCAGATCTCTCTGCAGAGCCTTCCTATCCCCCAGCAGATCAACGCTCCTGCACAACTTGGTGTCATCTGCAAACTGACTGAGTGTATGCTTGATTCCCTCATAAGGATCACTGATATAGATAGTAAACAGGACTGAGAAATGCAACAAAATTAATTAGATGAGATTTTTTTTTAAAATTCTCCAAGAAATTGGAGACAAATGAGGTGTAGTAGAAAAACATTTGACTCTTCCCTTTATAAAAATCAAAGAAATGGGAAACAATGAATCAAACACTATTGTTTTGCTACTATGTTCTGCAGGAGTAATCACAGGTTATCAGAAGGTACTGCCTGCATTCTTCACAACAAATTGGCATAACATTAATGTGATTTGGTGGCAAAATAGCAATAAACCGTTTGATAGAGTCTCAGTGATTTGGGACACAGTGTGTGTACTTTGAAGAAATCAGCAGGAAAATTAAATACCAAATAGTGTATCTTAAATGCTTCAAATAGATTTTGTACCTTAAAAAGGGTTTTGAAACAATATGGTCCAAAAAGCTTCATCCCAAAATCCTGCTCTGAAGCTTGCAAAAGAGAGAATGTAAAAAGCCAGTCTGAGCTGATCTATAAGAATAATGAAGACTTCAGGGGGGGTTACATTTTTGTCTTTGCTACCTACACAGGTTTGGTGATGAGAGCCAGCAGAACACTTCATCTCACAGAGCTACTGACTATGTTATAAATATTTTTAATAAAATCTCCTACTTAATCGTGATATTCAAATCACACAGGATTATAAAAAAATGAGAGTAACAAATGGAATGGATTTACTGTATCTGCAAGGGCATTGGTGGTACAAATTCAGCTGCTCATGCTTTAGAGAATGAGATTTTTGATGCTGACGTCCCCTGCCAGGAGAGCACAAGCTTTACATTAGGAGAAGATGACAGGACTAAATAAATGGAACATCAAGGGACTAGAAATACACAGCAAATAGGCACAGCTAGGAGGTCATTTGGAAAGAGAACCAGCTGGATTCAGTTGGTGTGAGGGCACAGTGGCAAATCTATCATCTGTCCACTAGCATCGGAAAGACACAGGAGACTGGACTGACTTCAAAGAGTGAAGTTTGAAAACTAGTAGACAGTTTGAAAAGGGATAGCTGAACTGAAAATTGCTATTCTATCTTCATTTTATTTCTCACCCCTTCATATCCACCCTCTATTCCCAAATCCATACTCTTCTTTCTTTCTCCTTACTTTTCCACCTCTCACTTCTAGATACTAACTTATGATGCTTCAGGATAAGAAATGCACAGTTATCGCTCCATAAGTTGCATAACTATCTGCTGGGATTATTTTGTTTCCAAATGGCTGATGATAATTTTAATAATATCTTCCTTTCCTGAAAAGTCAAGGACAGTCCAACACTAATGTACTGGGGATTATATTGTTAATCCATAGAGAAAGAGAGAAATAAACCAAAGAATAGTCATCATAAGCTGATGAGGACATATGTATAAGAAAAATTCTGAAGATACTTTTTATATTTCTCAGGTGTTATTCCCTTTTTTTCTTCATATGAATAAATAGAAAAAAGGTCAGTCTTCTTGCCTTAACTTTCATGCAGATAGCAATGTGCATATGCACATACGTTTAGAGGAACTGTTATCACTGCATACTCCATTATTTGTGTTTATCACTCATGATATGCCTTCCTTAAACCTTTCTTAGAAATTTCATGATGGCATTTCAGTCAGAAAGTTATGATATCATTGGAATAATTAAACACAGTGGGACAACTCACATGACTGCAGGATTGCAATAAATGGCTATAGACTGTCATGAAGACAGACAGGAAAGACAGGGAGAAGGACTTCTGCTCTATGTTAAGGAGTACCATGGATGAACAGAAGTCAACTACATGGATTATGGAAGATCTATCCAATGTCTCTGGGTCAAGATCAGAGGGCTTTTCTCCAAAGAGAAATTGTTCTTCAGAAATGTACACAACAAGCTGAAACAGAAGGAAAATATTGGCCCAGTGTTCAACAGAAGAGTGAATTAGTCATCAACACCACTGAAAAGGCATACATTCTCAACACTTTCTTTACCTCTATCTTCACCAGTACAATTGGTCCCTGGCCTTGGGAAAAATATCCAGGTTGATGCAAACACAGACCCACCATCGTTGAAGGAAGGGTTGGTATATGAACTACTATAGGTGCTTGACCCCTATAGATCAATGGATCCTGAAAATATCCACCTGAGTGTGTTCAGAGAGATGGCTGACATAATCGTGAGGTCACTCACTATAATCCTGGAGAAGTCATAGAGATCTGGAGATACTCCAGAAGACTGGAAGAAAGCTAATGTCACTTCCATCTACAAGAAAGACTTAAAGAAGGAAATTATAAGCCTATCAGTCTTACTTCAGTCTCTAAGAAGGTTATGGAATGAATCCTCCTGGGACATATCACAAGTCAGATGAAGTATGTGATTGGGAAAAGCCAGCACAGATTCACCAAGTGTAAATGGTGCTGGACAAACCCAATCACCATCTACAAAAAAGTAACCTGCTTGGTTGATGTAGGGTAAGTGATGGGCGTTGTCTACCTGGATTTCTCCAAGGCTTTTAATATGCTTTCCAACAACCTCCTCTTGGAGAAACTGATGCATTATGGTCTGGACAAGTTGTTCCCATGGTGGGTGGGGGACTGGCTACATCAAGGGTAGTGGCAAGTAGCTCCTTTGCAAACTAGCAACCTGTCACAAGGTGGGTCCCCCAGGGATCAATTTTGTTTTCAACACTATCTAATATCTTCATAAGTGATCTGGATGACAGGATCAGATGAACTTTGGCTACAAAGAAGATAGGGACTTCCTTTTTAAAAGCAATCACATGTCAAAGACCAAGGATAATAGGTATAAGTTAATCCTGGGTACATTCCAACTGGACACAAGAGGAAAATTTTTTGCAACGAGAACAGTCATTGAATCAATGTCCCCAAAGAAATGTTGAATTCCCCAACTATGGACACTTTTAAGATTCAGCTGAATAGGTTGATGGACTATCTTGCCTAGACTGAGTTTTTGCCAAGAAAGGTTGGACCAGATGATCATTGAAGTCCCCTTCCAACTTGGTATTCTATGATTCTATGAAATTCTAGCTTCTTACGTGATTGTCATGAGTTGTTGACCTGTCCCATGTTAATGAATTCTCAGTGAGCATCGCTGTCTCTGAATAACTTACTGTGTCTCTATCGCAAGGAATGTTTCATGGGTAGTGCTAAAAACTTTGTGATTCTCTGAGGGACTCCTAAGTCTTTTTCACAATCCATTTCTGTTATTAAATAACACACAATCTGCCTCTTTTCCTTCAAAGTGGATCTCTGATGCTTTTCTGGATAGTTAAAAAGAGGGAAAATCTATCTCCATTGTGCATATTTTTGCTGCATATTTACCTTAAAATTTTTATTTGATATGCTCTTGGACATAAACCTGACTGGTTGGCAGCCCACAAAGCTTATATTCTAATTTTTTTTAGAAAAAGGTACAGTGGAGACTTCTACAAGCTTTGCTGCCTAAACAAATTAGCAAAATGCTTTGTTAAAAACCACCAAAGAGACTTTGGAGAATGAACTTCTGTAGGTTTGAAAGCCCTAGCTAATAAAATATAAACCACCAAGTAACTCCATTGAAATTACATGAGTAACTGCTTTTTGGATTATACTTTAATCTAGAAATAATGCTTGTATGGTCAGAGGAAAGTTCTGCTTATTACTGCATAAAGAGAACATTTTGGCAATGTGACCAGTGATCCACTAGAGTTAAAAAAAAAAAAAAATTCCTGCTGTAGGTTTCACATCATTTAACCACCACCTAACAATTTTTTGATAACTGTACATTTTTTCTATAGCAATGAAAAAAGGAAGATGTATATTCAGAATTGATTTGAAAATTTTCTTTCTTAAAGAAAATAAAATTTTATGTTCCTTAAAACATCACATAGATTTTGTCATACATAGTTCTTCACCAGATGTGTGCTGCAGGGCTTGCAGGTGTCTCAGGTGATATACTTTATCATTAACATTTGCTACTCAGTTACAGGAATTGTCTTTATTTATGTTACCAGCCATCTATTAGCATGACAGGAATGGCGGACTGCAAGTTAAACAGGTCTTATAATCAACATCTACAAATATAACTCATTTATCATGCCCATGTCAAATTTGTCAGAAAGCCAACCTTTTTGGAAGCAAGAAGGAAACACAAGGAAGGTTAACAGATTTAGAATGCTGCTGAAGTTTTAACAAGTAAGCATATGCAACAAATAACTTGTTTAATATTTGCCATACTTTGCTGTCTCTGCTGGTACAGAGTAATTGAATAATCTATTTGCTATTTACTATAGCTGCATGACATCCTATGGTGCAACCATTTTCCGTATGAATAAATGTTCTCAATAAATGTTGAATGGAAAAATGCGCTGGTGTGGAACCAATGAATTGAAAACCTCGTTTAGGACCTGATCCTGTGAAAAATGGAATGAACCCTGTAAGTGGCTATCCTCTGTTTGTAATTCTCTGACAGTTAAAAGGCTTTGTTTATCACCAAATATACTCAGCATCTTGCAGGGTCAGATATTAATGAACAATGATTGTGGGAAATAAGAATGTCTGATATTAAAATGTCATTAAAACTAGCTTTCTTCATACTTCCTAAACTGTTTTTCTGCGAAATTCAGTCTGAAAACATGAAAAAAATAACTTAGGGTCTTCTGAAGTTAACTCTTATCTGTCAAAACTCCACTATTCATTTTCAGTGTCACTATAGATAAACATTCAAGATGTTACTATGATTTGTTGCTTCTTCACTGACTGGTTTATTGTCTATATTTTAATTAATGATGGGAATGAAAAGTAACTATAACAGCACAATACAAAGACAGACTATTAGATGCATCAATCATGCATATTTTATTTTATTAATATAACCAATTTTCTAATTTGCAAATTTAGATTTGCATACAGAGGATCATATTGAAGAAGAATTGTGAAAGGAAACTTCATTTTGAAAGCTCATCTCATCAATAAATGAAGACTAGGAATCAGATGCACAGTATTCTTGATTACGGTATTATTGAAAACAACAAACATGGAAAAAATATTTGTCATACATAGTTTTGTCATACATAGTTTGTCATACATATTTGTCATACATAGTTTTATAAGATCTGTGAGATTGCATGTATGGTACTATTGATTTAATTAGTACACCCTTATAGAAAAAGAAACATGATAATTAGTGGAACATTGCATTTACCAAGACCTCTTTGAAATGCATTTTTATAGTTTCTATAAAATTTTATGTTATTCAGGTTTTAGTCAATAGATGATTCATTAGATGGATACATGCAAGAAGAATGCCTGCATTTTATGGAAAGTGGAATACCAAATAAATAAGTGAATGTTCATGTAACTGTTCCATTTTGGTTATAAATTAAATAAATGATCTAGAATCTACTTTTAATAATATTCTCAGTCAAGTGTTAACTAAGTTAACTGTGCCTGCATAGTAGCTAAAAAATGCCTGAAGAGAGACAAAACAAGGGGGGGGACAAAGGAATTACAGCTGAATATTTAGTATAGTGAAAGCAAATTAGATTTTATCATGATCTTGGATACATATGGCAGATTCACAGGCAAAAACAGTTTGTTGAAAATTTGGTATATCAAATTGAAATTATTTTTGATTTATCATTTAATGTTAAAAAATATTCTAAATATATATATATCTTGAGTTTCTTTTCTCATCTTGACTTCAAAAATTTCTGTAGATTCTTCTTTTGTTAATTAGATCATATTTCCATTGAAGTTAGGTTTTCCTTCTCTGCTTCTGTGTTGTCATTTATTCTCAGCCAGGAGCTAAGCCTAGGGATGGGGAGAGAACCAGAAGAGTAAAAGTGAGAAAACTTACGAGTTCAGATAAAGAGAGTTTAACAGGTAAAACAAAAGCCACGCAAACCAGCAAAGCAAGAAAAGGAATTAATTCACCGCCTCTCGTGGGCAGAAATGTGTTGAGCCCAAGAAAGCAGGGCTTTATCATGTGTGATAGAGACTTCAGAAAACAACAGGCCATAACTCCAAATGTCCTCAACCCACCCCTTTTCAGCTTTTTCCCTGCAACTTTTATTGCTGATCACATCATATGGTATGGGATACCCCTCCAGTCAGTTGGGGTCAGCTGCCCTGGCTGTGTCTCCTCCCAATGGCTCGTGCACCCCCAGCCTCCTTGCTGGTGGTGTGGTGTGAAGGGCAGAAAAATCATTGACTCTGTGAAAGCACTGCTCAGCAATAGCGAAAACATCCCTATGGCATCAACACCATTCCCACCTCAGATCCAAAACAGCCCCATACTAACAACTATTAAGAAAATTATCTCTATCCCAGCCTAATCCAGTACATTCTGCATTGTTTATTTCCTACAAAATATTTTTAGTTTTAGTTTCTTTTTCATTTATCTATGTATTCTTGGAGTGTGCTGCCTCATATATTCTTTCATTGGAGAAGTATGAACCGGTTCTGATTGGTTCTGTGAAGTCACTTGAAGTCTGTTTTTACTTGTGAATCAGTGCTTGTTTGGCTGTTTGTTGCTTATTCATTTGAAGCTGCTTTTGTGGGAGCATTCCACAGAGTGTGTCTCTGTTGAAAGACAATCAAGGACCAGCATCCTTTGAAGAGGAGCCTTCCGGTCCAACAACAAATTGGGTGCATTTTTCACTGATGGTTTTTTAGTTCACAGCTTTACTCTTGTTTGAGGCAGTAGTTATTCACTAATTTAATGTCAGAAATCTTGCCAGCATCCTTTCCTATTCTGCTTCAGGAAGGATCGGTGTTCTGAAATATAAACAAAAAAGTGTTCCACTTTATTCTTATCTTCCCAGGGCCCCAAGGAGAGCGCTGTCAGTCGGTCTGGGTAAGCTGCCTCAGAGTTACATCCTTCTTTGGAGGTCTGTAGAGCCAGAAAAAGTGAGGAAAAATCGTTCCTCTGGAAATCCTGCTCCACAAATCCCTCTGAATGAAGGCAGGGGAAGCAGCAGACTTTGCATAAGGCTATTACAGATCCCTGAAAAGTGTTTGTAGCAAAAAGCATAAGGCAAGATGCAGAAATGGGGAGATGGTGCTGTTCAGGAAAGCTGATTGTATCTGTTCAGACAAGCATGATAGAGATCATTTCTTATAAGTCACCACAGTGACTATTGTTGAAAAGAGCCAATCACAGCATTTTGTTCAAAATTTTTAGTTTTAGAGTGGTAACAGCCCCCCTACTCTCGAGCTTTCCCTCCACATCAAGATAGTAAGCTAATGATTCAAAACTCTTTTGCTTATTCATTTTTATTCATACAATTTACATAACACTTTCTGTCACCTCCTGGGAACACACAAAATACCCCTTTCCCTCATCATAGCTCTTGATCTTACACAGGATTTAGTACTGTATATTAATAGGGAACTTTTTAATTTTCTTATTCTCTACAAGGAAGCATCATGCTTTTATCTTCCTCAGTATCTCACTTTTCTGGAAAAAAACCATTGAAGCTTTTGGCTGTTTATCAGTTTTCCAGGTCAAAAAGGCTAAAACATTTACTCTAAGTAGTTTATTTTAAAAAAATTTTAGAATTTTAAATCTGTTTCATACGAAAGTTTGTGTTTAAATTTAAATTATGATTAAATACTTTGAAACTATTAGACATTTCCAATTTGCTAGCTATATTCTTTTACACTGAGAATAGACTTGTCTCAAATTTGATCTCAGTAAAAATGGTTTTTTTTCCTACCTATAGCTAATTTTATGTGTTTTCAAACTCTAGATTTAGAATGAATTCAAGTATTCTTCAAGAATTCTTAGAAAAATAGAAATGGGAAAAATACTTCACAGACTCTGCAAAGTACTGAAAAATGGAATAAGATTTTAAAAATATTTTCCTCAGCTGAGGGGAAGCCACGGTAATTCTGATAGCTTCCATTAGCTGTCTTTTACATTATTTTTCTTTTTGATGATTTTGTCTTCACTGTTAACTTCTGTATAAAGGAGTATTTAGAAAAGAAAGGAAAAGCATAAAAAAGTATGTAAAATTTTGGCTGATCGGTGCGACACATCAGTCTCAGGATGATGCTCTGAAATTCACTTCACTGTTGTGCACAGAGATGTCTGAGCTGAGAAAATACCAAGAAGAAATAAATGAGAAAGGTTGCAACAATCACGAGAAACTGATAGACAATAGTAACGAAACATCTCTGTTTCCTTTCAGATACATTTCCCAGTGATTGTAAATCTGACTTAGCTAACAAATCTTCATTGAAAAGAAAGACAAAACAAAACAAGAAGTAAAAAGAATATCACTGCAGGCAACAAATTAAGTTTCCTAATTTGTGGGCACAAAAGTGACCCTGTAATAAAAACAAATGTACTAATGTGAGTTTCCTGGGCAGTTTCATCTATATTTCTAAGTAAGGGAAATTTCTGTGTGCGTTTGTGTGTGCGTTACTAAACAGCATATTTTACATAAAGAAACAACGGAATTTAATACAAGCTTTATATTTGCTGACATTAATTACAATTAACCGGAAGTATATTAAAGAAAAAAGATTAAACAAAATAGATGGGACTATTAGCATTTTCTACTTTTTTAAACTAGGTGAGCAGAAATGTGTGATTCTATACCTGGGCAAAAACTCGCATCTGGTTAGAACATGATGTTGCCACATACAAGCAGGCTACTCCAAACTCCAATTCATTTCCACCATAACAGATAATACATTATCGGTAGTAGTAATAATTACAGTAATAAGTATGGGTGTCTCAGTCTGAGGAGACTGAAATGTTTGCTAAAGAGGATGAGTTATAAAATAGACCAAACTCCTCTCTCTCAGCAATTGTAAATTCAAAATTAAGGGGCTTTAATTGAGGAAGTGTGGAAAAAGACAGAAGAAACAACAACCCTTTATTAAAAGATATATGTATGTTGGCAAAAACAGTAACAGAACACAAAAAAACTAGACAGTAGTCCTAGAAGAAAAAAAAGGTCTGACTGAACACTTCCCTGTCCTTTAGCGCAGTCCTGACCGTGGCCTGCAGGGGGCGCTGTTGGATCGCTGAAGGTGCAGGGCCTGCAGTTCTCTGTCGTGGCCGGCAGGGGGCGCTGTTGGATCACTGGCGGTCACCACGCGGGGAGAGGGGTCTGGGGGGGGTGGTCTGGGGTCGCGGAAGGAGCCGAAAAGAAGATGGGGGACCCTTTCCTCAATGGAAGGAAGGAGTAAGGAAAAGCAGTTCACCCCCTAACAGGACTCACTGTTCCCAGATGACGGTGTTCCAAGGCTCTCCCCTCTTCTCCCAGCAAGCACAGACCTCTCTGATGAAAAGAAATAAAAAACAACCAGTAGGTCCCGGCGGGAGTCACGAGGCAGTGGCGGTGCAGGGCTGGTGGTCAGGCCTCACCAGGATGAAAGAACCAGAAAAAAAAAAACTGGCTCCCAGGCTTTTCCTCCAGAAATGCCTGGATACAGTCCCTGTCTCCGTCCCTGCGAGAGCGAGCTCCACCGTCTGCCCCTCTCCCCTCAGAACAGAACCAGCCCCTCCTCTCTCCCCAGCCTCTGACGGGCCATCAGAGAGGAATGCAGTCTGGCGAGGTAATTCCTTTGTAAGGAATTACCTCCCTTCCCCCTTCCCTATTCGAAACTCTGTTTCTCTTACATGGAAGCAGGGAAAGAAAAAATTCCTCTCTCAGATTTATAACCTGTAACAATGGCTGGTATGACTTTTTAGATAGATTTTGGATTACTATAATATTTTAAAAGACTGAGATATGGAATGTCACTAAACACAGGAGTGATCTGAATAGTTTAAATATTTTAAAAAGGGACTGCAATGTTCATTTAAATGACCATTTAAATAAACATGGAAAATGGCTAAGTGAGGCTATTGCCTGGCCAGTCCATTTTTCAATCACCTTGTGTGCCACCACAGCCATTTGTCTAACCAAACCACCTAGCCTGTCTAGTTGCCATGAGCTCTTTAGAACAGGGGCTAATATTTACAGTCACTATTTTTTTTTACAGTGCAGATAAACCTAAATCATTGATTACTAAACTTGTCAGTAGGATGAAACACATTGAAAATCCAACAGAGAATTCAAGTATTGTCTCTATTTCAAATTAATAAAAATATTTAGTTAAATAAGGTCTATAAATCAACAATAATAAAGAGTTCTAAATATTGTGCTTTTTAAACCCATAAATGTTATAGTAATTGAAGGTGGATATTCTAAACTTTATAAGAAAAAGGACCTTCTTAGTAGCGGTAGACAATAGTTTTCAGGGTTTTTTATTTGCAGAGTTCTCAGGTATTTGTAACATAGCTAGGCTAAGGGAGAATTCTAATATTATCAGCTTTTACTTTTTAAGCCTATTGTTTTTGCCATCTTTCTTGACATCACTGTGTCACCTGCAGCTGTGCCGATGCTGGTGTGACAATTCCAAATAAATGTACTGTAAACAAAAGAAAGTGGTTTCCTAACAACAGGATCCATGTGAATTCTTTCTGAAGATCTTCATCCCCCAGTCAAGCTTCCTTCAACATGGCAAGCTGACTGTGAGAGGGAAATCAAAGAGATTCAAACCCCACTGAAAAAGGAAGATTGAATGGATTAGATGGAATGCAGCAGGGAGGTCAAGCGTTTATATTCACATCACTTCAAGGTACCTAATTCTGAACTCCAAAATAGTAAATTTACAAGTCTGCAAGTGAATACCAGACATATTAATATTATCATGAAGTATAACAGAAATGGTTAATTGTAAAAGAAAAGAGAAGAGAAAGATGAGAGAACAAATATTTAGTTTTCTGATTTAACCTACCATTTCAAATTTCC